ATTTGATCTAATCGCCTTTAATCCCCTTTCCCTTTTGCTAATCCCCGCCTTTATCCCCCATTTACTCGCCCTCTTTACCCCTTTTCAGTACCACATTATCCGAAAGTGCTGAAAGACTTACGGCGTGTCGCATTTAATCATTAACTCCCCACCACCTCTTTGGTTACAGTACTTTCTTGCAGTAGTACATGACCTTTGATGTCTGACATCTGTTTTTACCATCGAACATTATGCCTTCCTCCCTCGCTCTCCATAGCTTACTGTTCTGTTATTGATCTTGTCATACATATAATCACTCTCTGGATGGTTTTGAAACGGTAAATTTTTTGTGATCTATAAATGCAATTCTTACAAACAGTCAAGTATAAATCAGTAAGTAAAAGATGCCAAGTCAGCTTCTCCCAGATGCTGATCAAAAATTGTATTATGGAATTACAATTTCGCAAAGCACAAGTTATTGAAAACCGCTATCTACTTGAAGGAGAGAAAGGACAACTAAACACTTTGCCCGTTGCACACAAAATAAATAAAAATAGTATTTCGAGAACAAAGTCAAAGTGTTTACCCAAAAATGTAATAAAATTACACATCAGACATGTTTAATCGATACAAATATTGAAAAAATAATTTCCTTAACGTGAAACAGTTTGTGCAAATGTGCATTATAGTATGATATCCTTTATTTGCCACAGATTAAGTAAGAAAAAAAAACGAAGGGACATTAACCAGTTGTGTGACCGCATATGGGAAAATTAAAATTACTGAATCATTCAATATCAGCATTTATTTGCAGTACTTCTGTAGTTTCCACTCATCACGATGAACCATCATAACCATTCTTATTGCCAATTGCAAATACCAACCAAGTTCCAACACTGCAAAGCTTCTGTTCAGCATCGACGGGGAAACTCCTTGCAGGAAATGAATTCGTCGATTTCCGATCTGTGAACGAAACGAGTTTGAAAATAAGAATCATACCTCGATTTTGAACATTTGAAGCGAGTAATCAGAAAAAAGCTAGGCTGAGAAAGAAACTATATTAATGCAGCTATATATCAGTATCTTGTACAAAAAATATATATATAAACACGAGATAATTTGAAAGACATGGAAAAAATAAAAGTAAAGAATTAAATATAATTTATGAACAAACTGGACCAGAAAGAAACTAATAACATACACAACAGAGTGTAAATCACTGAAATGAAGAACGAAAGTCAATAAAAAAAAGGCCAAACAAATTACTAATATGTAAAACAAGAAATTAATAAATCATCAATAAACAAATCACAAAAGCGTAGAAAGGTATTTCGAAGTGGGAGAACAGGGGGGGGGGGGCGAATCTCCCGGAAGTGCCTGGATTATAGCAGTTTTACAGATAAAGTCAACAATTCCTGCACTAAAATGTCCGGCATATATACTTGGCCAATATTTGACAATGGTTATTTGATTTTGAAAAATGAGACTCGGTTGTAGCTGCCCTCTCTGTAACAGGTCATCAGTGTTCTCTAGAATTTGTTTACTATCGAATTGCACTCATTGCGTACAGGGAATTTTCTCGAAAGCTGAGCAAGAGGGGGGGGGGGAGAAGATGGGTCCCTTCCCGCTCCATTCTAAAGTGCAGAAGCGGTCGCCCACTTGCCCCCCCCCCCCCCACCCTCCCTTTTTCTACGCCCTGCTCTCGCCCTCCCTTTTCCTACGCCTATCAATTACTCTAAGAAAATAAATGCTCACGTTACTCATCATAACAGCGAATTCCCGCCATCAACGTCGCCACTTCCTCCTACTCCTTCTCTCCCTCCTCTTCGTTCTCCTGCTCCGCCTTCTTCCTCTCCCATTTCCCCTGTCGATTCCTCGCATCCTCCGCTCTCCGTCCTCTTCCCCTCGACGAAGTCCAGCCGAGCCGAAAACCCCTTTACGTAGCCATATTTCCCGCGGAAGACGATGAACATGTCGCGGCCTTCGGAGATGAGCTCTTGGCCGGGAGACAGGTCGGCGCCGCAGTACCTGGGGGAGCGCGGAGCCAGGGCAGATGCCAGAACAGTGTACATGCCCTATAAAAAGCCAGGGTAAGATGCTACAGCATGTATCCAAATTGGCTAAGCTTATATTTATTGAATGGCTATTAGTCAAACATTAGTAATACATGCCTGAAGAACTTTCATGCTTATATTATACACATGTCATCTAGTTGGTAAATAATAAAAAACAAAACAAAAAATAAAAGGTATCCCTAATCATATCGAAGACAAGACCAGTGTCTATGATAAAATTAATATACTCAATAAGTACTGGTCTCGATAGGATGTTCAAAAACTGCATCCTATCGATCAAATAGCAAAGTAAGTAATGTGTAAGCTTATGCGACTTGGGCGCCTTACACATTTTGCATTGGTGATATGTAACTGGCTTTGCCTCCAAAACTGCATCCTATTCTTAATGAATAGTGTATTGATATCCTATACGTAGCCTGGTTAGCGTAACCTACTGTCTCCGAGACAGTCCATCATAGACTTTGTATGGTTTGTTAGCATCACATGACCCGACAATAATTTCATAATGCCAGATGGTACCCTGTCCACTTTTCTTCAATTCTTCGGTGGTCCATACCTGGCCCTCATGTTCTCGAAGACAGCTGATAACACTTTTTTTCATTTGACTGACAGATAACGGTATTGCATAATATGGTTCATGAGAAAGTGCTTATTTTGCTAACTCATCTACCTTGTCACAGGTTGATATTCCTATATGAGAAGGTATCCAATATAGTGACACTTGTATACCCTGCTCTGAGAGACTAGCAATTTGGTGAAGGGTATTGATAGTTACCATGTTTTCTGGACTAAATGTTGTAAGTATAGAGTGCACCCTGGCTGTCAGAGAAGACAGCTAGGTGTTGCTGATGTTCACTACTTGGCATGGTATATTGCTACTGACGGCATCAGTTGTGCTCGTCCAGTTGGAAATTCGCACATTTTCTTGGAGAGCAATGTCAGGAATTAGTACACCAATTCCTGCTGCTCCATGAGGATCAGTAAAAGCATCACAGATTGCAAGTGGGGGGGAGGGGGCACCATGAGGGGGTGGAGAATTTCATCAATATATTTCAAGTAATGGCCTTTCAACTCTGTTATTAAAGTCAGATTTTGGCCCTGCTATTTATCAATATGAACATTAACATGGGATCTATGCCATGGTGAAGTAAGTGTTACTTATGGGATGGTAAAATCATTGTTTCACACACTGAAGCTGAGAATAGTCTGAGCAGTTTTGGCCTTCCATTCTAAGTTAGACTTTATGAGATTGGAGTATCGAGGCCGCCGGACATGCCTAGCCCCAAACGCAAGGGAAATTTGTGGTTTGAACTGAATCTGCAGAAGTCTGATGCCGAGTATGGTGTTAACTTGAGTAATACGATTGAAATGACGGGAGGTCAACCACTTTCCTCATGACAAGAACTTTAGCGTCATTGGGCAACCCAAACTGACTCTCATGGCCTTATTCTGTAAAACTTCAAGGGGTTTGAGAGCATTTTGAGGCAACATACTGAGAACGGGGCTCGCATAGTCTATCATGGACGTAACAAGGGAAATGTACATCAACCTTAGGACTCTCAGCGAAGCACCAACGTATCTGTTATTTATGTATTGTAAAGGTTTTAAGCGCTCCAGGCAACATTCCCTGATGTTTTGAACAATTTCCCGAGTGAAGTGGGAAATGCGGGACACGAGGTGGGGAGCAATCACCATAACACCAAGATACTTAGAGGTGTCAGTTTTTGCAATAATTTGTCCAACTAATCTTGGAATGCATGACAGTTTATGAGATCCGGAAATATATTAGTCTTGACAGGGTTGATTATGAGTCTAAGGGAGATGCACTTTTTACTGAATCTCTGAAGAACATATTCCCCCCTGAAGAATAGAAAAACACATTCCCGTGTTGATACTATGGTAGAAAAACCCACAATGCACAAATTAGATTTATTGAAGAAAGTGAGACAGTTTCGGAATCGTCCTCGATTCCATCGAGGACGATTCGAAACTGTTGTCTCACTTTCTTCAATAAATCTAGTTTGTGCATTGTGGGTTTTTCTACCATAGTATCAACACCCCTATCAAAGACCTGAATGAGAATGTCATCAGCATAGGATGTGATGCTGCATAGGTCTCCTAACTCACTATTAAGCTTGCAAAGAGAGTGCATGAGGATGTTAAATAATGAAGGGGATAAAACTCCTCCTTGTGGAGTTCCAAACCCAAGTTCACCATAATTACTGTAGGTGCCCTGGTAACATACTTTCGCTCTTCTCAAAGACAGATAATCCTTTATCCGTAGGAGAAGCTTACCCTAGAATGGTTAATTCATGGAGGATTACAGTAGGGGGGGGCTCTGTCAAATGTTCCCTTGAAATCTATGAAGTAAGAAGACTGTGCATTACTTCCATTGAGGTACTGTGCCAAACACATTGTGTTTCTTTCCCTTTTGGAAACCAAAGACTGATGGGTGATTTTGATCTTTGATCTGGTGGAGCAGACGATTGAGGAGGATCCTTTCACAGGTTTTAGAAAGACAGGATGTCAGAGAAATTGGTCTAAATTCATCAGACACCCTGGTTTTGGGATGGGAATAATGGTGGTTTGTTTCCAAGCAGTAGGCAAGATGCCTGTAGTATAGGTTAAGTTGAAGAGATCAAGAAGAGGATTTCTTTACTGTACCTGTACCTGTGCAAGGAGTCGGATGACTTGTAAATGGCGCATCAGCCTCATCTAAAATTCGGCACTGATAGTCAATTTCATTTGTGTTTTGTCTCAT